CAATCTGTGCTTCATCAGCTTTGAAGTGCATTGGTGACTTTAGGGGTCTAATAGACTCCTAATGTCACCTTAAAGAGTACCTGTATTTTTTCACCATTTCATGGGTGCACGCAGTTTTTAAGTTTGCATGTTTGGTATCTATTTACTCAACACAACCTCATCTTTCATATTCTGCAAAAGAATTGGGTATTATTTTGTGCACTAAATTTTTTTGTTCTGAAAGTTCGGGCCTGACAAAGAGTTGCGCTTATATCATGCGGCATCAAAATTTGCAACTGCCACAATTTTATTCTACAGGGTCTTCACTTTCAGGAAACATTTCATTTGGGGGTGGGGGGTTAAGTAATTTTCAGGCCTAAAATGTGGATTATAGCATGAGTGCTAACAACGCTCTGGCAGTGAAAGGGTTAAAGATTGAGATGCCTACTGTTAGAAACAGCAAAAATGTTCATCTCCAGACCAGCTTTTCTACTTTATCTAAATTGTCTGTAAAATAGAATGTAATGTAAACTGTTTATAGATAAAGAAGTTATTAAATAGTATAAATAAATAATAGAAAAACAAAAAGAGCAAGTACTACATCTAAAGTAGCATCCGGGCAGCTATAACAAGAACAGTACAGGACTATTAGATAAACATTACGAGCAGAGACACTTGGCATGGTTTGTAGTTCTGCAGGCTGTGGGATACCTGGAGCTGAGTGTAGCCCGCTGAATGCATAAACATAGGATACAAATGGTACAACTAATCATGGGTGGATGTTTGTAATATAAACATACTCAGTACTTGGAGTGTTTCAAATTCTTATTGGCTGTTATGAAATCATTTCTTTATTTTCATGCAGGCCTTCGGAACAAGAGCGATGTTATGACTCTCATAGTAATAGTCTGCAGGTTGAATTGCAATTGTTTTCCACCATGCAAGTGAGGATCAAGGCAAAAAATGTCTCCGGGGAACCAGTGATCAGTTTTATGACGACCGCCCAAGAAATCCGTAAGTTACGTTCATACTGTAAAAGAGACGCACTTACCCAAATAAGATACCATTTGGTATCGGCATTGCACTATAGCTGCTGCAATGTGTTCCTGTATCTGCATTAATCCATTTAGTGCTTTAAAATGCTTACATTTACTCAGGAATTCCCGCTGGAACAACCTTCCTAATAAGCTGCAGTGGAACAGTTAAGCTTTTCATAGAAAATGATTGTGTTCCTATTGTATTCCTTTCTCTTCCTCCAAGATACGATGGCGTTGCATTTGGATGATACAGGTCACCTTCATAACATCTCCAAACTTTGCACCTTCCTAACCAATGAAAACACAAAGCTGCTCATCCACTCGTTATCTCTTGTCTCAACTATTGCAACTCCCTCCTCATTGGCCTACCTCTACACAAGCTATGTAGCTGCTAAGTCAATGCTGCTGCTAGACTCATCCACCTAACCAACCGTTCAGTGTCTGTAACCCGCCTCTGCCAATCCCTCCACTGGA